TTCAGATGGAGTTGCTTGGAGGTGGCAGGGGAGAAGAGGGCTTTGGTGGCCCCCAGGACAGCAAGACCACTAATAGCGTTCCTGTGGACCCATGCAGGATCGAGGAGCCAGAACAGCTGAAAAAAGGGAGTCATTCAGAGGCCGGTGAGTCATTGCAAGAGACTGGTGCAGGGCCCGTCCCATGGGAATTGTTTGGAGCACGGGTGGTGGGGGAGAGAAGCCCACCAGGAGAACACTGAGACAGAGCAGGGACAGCCAATCCGCCCCCCATTCACTGCAGGACCACTCAGAGGAGACTGGCTGGGAATGCAGAATTGCATGGGGTGCAGTTTGATGAAAAGATTCAGGCCCAGATCAGAGTTTCTACACAACCCAGGTGCACTGGGTCTCTGGAGAGCTGGAAGTATCTATAAGTCAACCATTAAACACTGAGCTGCACAAAAAGTCTTCCCTAGGGAAACAGCAGCAAAGCAGCAATTTGGGCTCAACAACACAGTTCGGATACTGGTTCCCACAGGAAGTTCCCCCATTTTAGAAGTAAGCAAAGGACAAAAAATTAGTTCTGGCCCAGGCACACCACCAGTGCCTCCAGGCCTGCCAGGGGACTTGAGGTATGGAGCCGGGGACTGGACCTCCCACCCACAACCAGGCACACTGCCAGCACCAAAGAGCATGCCAAAAACATCGCCTCCATGTGGGTGGCCCACCACAGCCACCACAGTAACCATGGCTGCTGCAAAAGTGGTTAGACATCACAGCCACCACGCAGATGGTCCGCCAGCCACTGGAGTGCAGTGACACAAGGAGAGTCACCAGCAGAGACCAAAGAAAAGAAGATGATGTCTTTCTCCACAAAGCCCATTCCAGAGTGACAGAAGAAGCATCTGCTCTATGATAATATTGGGGGACCTGAACACACCTTTCAGCATTGGACAGATCATCTAGGCACAAATCAACAGAATAACCATTACTCTTTCAGAGGGAGAGAAGAAATCTAGTGTTATCAGTGGTGGGAGGGGGGAGGGAGAGGGAGACAGGGAGAGATTGGACAAGGGGCATAAAGAATAAGTACAATTTGTAACATTATACATACTAGTAATATTGATTTGATCAATATATGTCAACATTGAATCCCCCAAATATGTAAATCAATTATGATTCAATAAAAATAAATAAAAACATTTTTTAAAAAGTAAGTGACTCTAAAACCAATCATAAATTATATAAAATGTATTTAAAATAGAAAGATGTCTGGAGAATCAGTGAGTTCATTTTATTATCATCTCAGACAAATTACTCAGAAATGATGAACAGTAGAAGTACTCGCTTGTTTCATCCTCACTGTTTTGAGTAAGTTTCCCACTTTAAAATAGTCCTTTAATGCAGTCAGGTCAAAGATAGTTAAATACACAATATGATGTCACTGACCCACTGCAATATACTGTACTATACTTGTACTATATTTGAGGTGTTTTATTTCCTCCCCATAATGGTGAGGATTTTGGACTAAGTCACAATTTTCTGTTGCTCGTGTGATTGCTGACATGTATTTGCCTTGTGGGGTTAGGACATAATCATAAGCCTTGGAACGAAGTAAATAGCAGTAAATGTATGTGATTCCCTAGATCTAATAGACAAATCAAAATAGAATAGCACTAACCATTCTATCTGGCAAAACAGTTAATTGAATATGAAACATGATCACTGTGCCAGATAGGTGGATTGCCAGACTCAGAATTACCTGGCAAGCTCATGAAAATTGTATTTTATTAAGCCCATTCTCATGGTAGAAAGGCAGGAGGGATTTTGCAAAGGGAAGTTATTTGTGATTAATAAATTTCTTTGAGCAGACTAACTCATATGATAAAGACAAACATTAAGACTTTGTTTAGGCTTTAAATGTTTTTTCCAGGTCACGAAGAATGTTGTTATAGATAGGGAAAAAAATAAGAATTAGCAAAGTTCTCTAGATCAAAGCTCCTCATCTTTTTTGTCCTGTGATTTTGTTTCCCAGTAATATATATATATATAATCTTGAAAACCTGCTTAGGCATTTAAATTATTGCACTTTTTATGTCATGGAAAGAAGCATATTGAGTATAAATAATATTTTAGACTAGTATATTATTAAATGTTGTATTTTAGTGTTGTATTAGTCAGTTCTGTGTTCCTGTAACAATACCTGAGACTGGGTAATTTACGAAGAACAGAGGTTTATTTGGTTTACGATTCTGGGACATCTACATCTGGTGTGGGCCTCAGGCTATTTCTACTTATGGAGGAAAGTGGCAGGCAGCTGGTGGGTACAAGCAGATCACATGGTGAGAGGAAGCAAGAGAGAGAAGAGGGGCCAGGGTCTTTTAAACAACCAGCTTTTGCAGGAACCAACAGAGCGAGAACTCACTCATTAATTCCCCCACCTAGGGAGAGCATTAATCATTCATGGGGGGTCCGCCCCCGTGAATCAAACAGCTTCCAACACTGCCACATTGGAGATCAGATTTCTACATGCGTTTTGGGGGGACAACACATCCAAAGTCTATGAAGTGTTTACTAATACAATTTTAATAAGTATAATATGTGAGAAAATTTTTGCTTTTGCCATTTAACAAGTGATTTATCCTTTAAATTTTTATTTTGTCAATATACAATGTGGTTGATTATTATGGCCCATCACCGAAACCTCCCTCCCTCCTCCCTCTCCCCCCTCCCACCCAGGAATGTCCTTTCCGTTTGCTTGTTGTATAACTTCGTATAATGTATGCTATACGAAGTTATGCAGTTGTTATATCTTCTCCCCTCCCCCCCTCCGGTTTAACAAGTGATTTATACTGTTTATAAAGAAAATATGATTTGTCTACAAATAAAATTTAAAATTATTTTATGTATTGAGTTTGGTTTGGGAATCGAATATACTTATTTTATGTATTATTATTTATTTTTAAGTTTTTGGCCATTGGCCATTACAAGGTTCAAATCTTGGACTGTGGTGTTATTGATACCACTCTAACTAACTGAGCTAACTGGCCAGCCCCTTATTATTAGTATATGTCAATATTAAATACATGTTATATATTACATGTTAAAGTGTAGGTTGAAATTTAACTATATATAACGGCTTAAAAAATAGAAAAAAAATCTACTTCCACAGCTGGTGAGTGGTCATTCTGTTTTGTACTTTAAGCATCAATTGGCTTATTTTTATAATTTTCATATTTTGTTTCAAATAAATGATTTTTATTTGCAAAATTTTTTCTGAAAACTACACATTGAGAATGTGGATAGTTCTTATTTCCAGTAAAAAATTGAGTATAACATCATTATAATTTTTGACATTAATTTTTAAAGTTTAGAGACAACTTGATATACCTATAAATTTTTTGATCACCTCACACTGGTCAGCCACCAAAAAAAAATTTTTTTGGTCAAATGAATGTAATTTATAGAATCTGTTGGTGATCATCTTGAGATAAACTTCCAGAATTATCATTCGTATTCTCTTCATGAAGTTGTATTTCAACATCAGTGTTCCTTACTTCATTATGGATATAATTAGCCAAAATATTACTGAAAACTATTACAATTTAAAACTGTAAGCGTCAAAATCTACACAGCAGTTTGTGTTGTTCAGGGTGATTGAGTATGCTCTTCTGGTCTCTTTAAAATCACAAACCTCTGGAATACCTTGGAGAAGCTGCAGGGGTTTGCAAACTTCTTTGAAAATACTTTTTAGTTGAAAAAAGCCTGAGATACAGAGAGGTTAACTTGCCCAGGATTATACATCTAGAAGCTGGTGGAGCCTACTTTCACACCCAGGTTATCTGGCCCTAGAATCTTTGCCTTTAACCACCTCATGATACAGCCTAGAATTCTGAATACTCATTGTTACATCAAACAAACCTCATACCTATAATTGAGCTAGAAAAAGAAAGCTAACAAATTGCAAAAATGAATGTGCTTTCTGTGAAGGTAAGCTAAAAAGTATATGATCATTTGGACTGAGAAGAAAATAGAATCTTAGTGTCGGTAAAATAATGAGGGATAATCCCCATATCCTAGATGTAGGAAAAATTTTATTATAGTTGAAAAACAACTAGGTAACAGCAAATTTAGGAAAAGTAATGGAAACTAGAGGAACTTCAGGTTATTTAATTATACAGTATTTCTAAGTCTGAGGTGTCATTATAGAAGGTAATTCTGCCCTTCCACAAAAGTCCTTAGGGGCTGTTAGTACTATTGTTTTTTGTTTTTTTTTTTTCCTTTTTTTGTCTTTTTCCGTGTCCGGCAACGGATCGCAACCCTCAGTGTCGCCCCCATACCGGACCGGGACCGGCAACAGGATCGCAGCCCTCGGCGTTGCTCCCGTGCCCTGCTCAGCCAGTGAGCGGGAACCGGCCTGTATGTGGGATCCGAACCCTTGGCGGGAGCGCCGCCACACTTCCCAAGCAGCGCACTACAGCAGTGCGCCACCGGGCCGGCCCAGTACTATTGTTTTGACTCAATAAGTCACCTCTTATGTTCTTAGGATTTTACTACTCTTACTTTCATATCATGTAACTTTGCCAAACAATATTTTTTTTTTTTTTTTTTTTTTAAAGATGACCGGTAAGGGGATCTTAACCTTTGGCTTGGTGGACTTGGTGATGTCAACACCACGCTCAGCCAGTGAGCGAACCAGCCATCCCTATATGGGATCCGAACCCGGGGCCTTGGTGTTATCAGCACCGCACTCTCCCGAGTGAGCCACGGGCCGGCCCGGCCAAACAATATTTTGATGTAGCCTCACTTGTATAAAACTAAATACTTATATCTCAATGAAATTGTAAGCACTTTGAACTCCTGTATCGCAAGGTGTAATTTTCTTTCTTTTTTTTTTTTTTCCTTTTTGTCTTTTTTCGTGTCCAGCAATGGGATCGCAACCCTCGGTGTTGCGCCCGCACCTCGCTCAGCCAGTGAGCGGCCCGTCTGTATGTGGGATCCGAACCCTCGGCGGGAGTGCCGCCGCGCTCCCAAGCGGTGCACTGTAGCAGTGCACCACTGGGCCGGCCCAAGGTATAATTTTCTAACATTAGCTCTTGTCCTTAGTGTAACATATGCAATATACAAATTACAGTGCACTACAGGTTAAGCATTCCTAATCTGAAATCCAAAATGCTCCAAATCAAGCTTTTTGAGTGCCAACATGGTGGCACAAGTGGAAAATTCCACACATGACTTCATCTGATAGGTTGCATTCAAAACAGGTGCACAAGGGCCGGCCCATGGCTCACTCGGAAGAGTGCGGTGCTGATAACACCAAGGCCACGGGTTCGGATCCTATATACGAATGGTCGGTTGCTCACTGGTTGAGCGTGGTGCTGACAACCCCAAGCCAAGTGTTAAGATCCCCTTACTGGTCATCTTTGAAAAAACAAAAAGCAAAACACAGGTGCACAGCACAAAGATTATTCAGCCCGCCGTTCGTTGTCGCTATTGTTTAACAGCTGCTACAGGTGTTCTGGTGATGCTACTGTGCAGCTTAGTTACCCTGACACATTGTTTTTTCTCTGTATTAATGGTATGTTATATTTTTCCTAGTAAGTATTTATGTGTGAATAAGTATAAGAAAATGATTGCTTATTAGTAGCATATAAATTCAGAGTCAGGAATAATGGTGATGCCATTATACAACCACAGATTGTATACACAGGTGGCTGCAGTAGTGACATCTTTGCTTTCTGATGGTTCAATGTACAAAAACTTGGTTACATGCAAAAAATTAAAAATATTGTATAAAATTACTTTCAGTATGTATGCATAAATGTTCCAAAATCTGAAACTCAAAACACTTCTGGTTCTAAGTATTTCAGATAAGGGATACTCAACCTGTACTCTCCTCATTATTGTTGGACTTTCTTTGAAACCAATGTGAATTTTTCTGATGTTCTATGTGGTGACCTATTCTTCTTTTCTTTTCTTTTTTTTTTTTTTTTGGCAGCTGGCCAGTATGGGGATCTGAACCCGTGACTTTGGTGTAATAAGGCTGCGCTTTAACCAGCTGAGCTAACCAGCCAGCCCATACTCTTGTTTTCTAGAATAGGGAGTAGCAACAGATGACTGTCCATGGTGAAACTGTACCTTGTGAAATAGAATCATATACATTCATATGACTTGCTAGATCAAATTGCTACCTTCTCTCCCCTCAAGAGAAGAATGTTCAAGCATGGATCTTTACTAATAACTCACTACACTGGCTGTGATTCTGGGTGTACTTCACTGGGCTCCTTGGCACTATTTCCACTAAGACTCCTTTGCCTTGCTAAGGTAGGCTGAAGAATTCCAAGAATTTTTTAAAGTTATATTTTTTATCTCCAGGTAGTACACATTTTCATTAGTTGATGTAGAGTTGCAGGGAATCACTTTTATACATTCTGTCCTGCTGAGACAATTTCTGCTGTTTGTTCCTCTGAACTTCCTTGGATTCATTTAGCTTCTGTAAAATCATCCCTTTTTCTCAGAGAGTAAAAGTCTTGCTGCTTCTGTAATTTGTTCTTCCCTATTCAAACCATCAGATTCTTCTTTACAAGACCCTTGTTTTAAACTACTTCATTGTTCTCTTTGGATTCCTGTTTTGTGAAGGCAAAAACTGAGTAAAAATTATAACATTTCGCTTTCCAGCCACAAAAGTGGTCTTCAGCTCCCTCAATATAATCCCATGCTTCCAAGAGCTAGAATTTGTTGGTATTGAAAAATTATTGTATTTTATTGAGTCTAAGCTGCCATCAATGGTGAAATGCACTATTTATTCACCATTAAGAAATAAAAACCATCCTCAATTAAACTGGGACACATCATTGATTATAAGATGCATCCTAATTTCAGAGATGTTAAAATATGAAAAACTGTCTTAGAAAAATTTTATGTGAAAGAAAAACTTGCTGAAGAAGCACATAGCCTAAAGAAGCATAGTGGAAAAATAGTGTGACTCTTTTAGTTTTAAGGAGAGGCCAACCCACTGTAGGGAGAGTTGAAGTATGGCTTTGTTCTTTTTGTCATGATCAGGATCAGGATAACTGTAAAGCCAAAGCACGCAGTATTGATTCTTACTTAGTGTTTAAAAGACTATTTTGATCTCAATAGAGAGTTTTTTTCTAAAGCATGGTATGTATCTATTAAATGCATAAAAGCAATAAAGAGGGTTGAAAGATAAAGGTAATAAGTTCAGGAAATAATTAGTAAGGGATCTAGAGAGGAAGTATGGGATTCATTTTACTTTGCAGAAGAACAAAACAAATTTTAGGCAGATTAAAAAAGAGCAAGTTTTAAAAGAAAGCTAACAAAGGACCAGGTGATTTCTTATTATAAGTCAATACGCCCCATGAATCTGGCTTTTTGTTTCTACATCCCTTATAAAGTACTTTACATATCATGGCCCTACATTTTCTTTCTATTCTCAAGACCCATTGGTTTCTTAACAGTACAGCAAGTGGGGTGGGGAAGGGGGATGGTAAACTGAGCAATCTCTTAGTAGCTGTGTGAACCCTCAGTGAGTATGAAATGACTTGCAGCTATTAGATATATCAATATCAACAAGAAATGAGTAGTGGCTATTTTTCATGGTCAATTCTGTCCTCCCCTGTATTTCACAGGTTTAAAGCAACAGTGTTAAAAAGAGAAAGTCTAAGAAAAATGGAATAGCAGTGGACACAGCTGTGGTTTATATGTGATCATTCTCCATCATTCAGCTTCCCACTTTGTTGACTTTTATTCCTCCTTTACCCTCACAGAATTGCTGGAATCCACAAATACCAAACTGTGGCCATTGAAGCTGACTTTGGAGGTGGCGTCTTGGTTTATCTTGCTTGTTTTCATCTTGGAGATCCTTCTTATGTGGCTATCCAGCTTTTTCCTCTTCTGGAAGAGTGCCTGGAATGTCTTTGACTTTGTTGTTACCATGTTGGTAAGGATAGATATCCTGAGGATTAGTTAGTGGGATGAAAAATGTGCCTAAGTGAATCAAAATAACAAGAAAATTTAACATGATTAGATAACAGGAAGAAACAAAGAGAAATTTACCTAACTCCCTTCTTTTGATTTTTTTCTAAAACTAAAAGTCAGTCATTGCAGGAAATGTTGATATTAGAAACAAAGTAGAATCTAAACATAACATCGACCCCAACGATAATATCTGCCAACTACTGAGCACTTGGTGCCAGGCACTATTTTAAATGTTTTACATGTATTATCTCATTTGTGCTCCACAACAACCCAATGAAATAGCGACTAATTTTATCTCCCTTTTATGTGTAAACAAGTTGAAGCACAGAGTTTAAATAATTTAGTATAGAAAGGCTAAATAGGAAACAATCCCCAGAGAATGCTGTTCAGGGGACAATGCCCAGGGAACTATGAAGAAGATGGGATGAAGAAGGGCCAACTGTACCTTGGTGCTTTGGGGGGTATATTTTACTCACAAACTGTGTATTTCCCACAGTCCCTGCTTCCTGAGGTTGTGGTGTTGGCAGGGGTAACAAGCCAGCCTGTGTGGCTCCAGTTTCTGAGGATCTGCCGGGTGCTGAGGTCTCTCAAACTCTTTGCACGATTCCGTCAAATTCGAGTTATTATTTTGGCCCTGGTCAGGGCCCTGAAGGTGATTAGACTGGTGCAGTTAAGGCAGGGGGACAAGGTGGATAAATATGGGGGTTTAACATTTAATACGAGACAAGTTTGGGTGGGTCGATGAAGGCAGTGAAAAATCCAGTGAAATGTTATTGAGTAAGAAGGGGCTGGGCACAAGCTGTGGTGGTTTGGGGATGACTGGGCTCAAGAGTGGAAGTGAGGGTTTGGTGGGGGATTGCCAGGTGGGCTTGACTGGGCTGTTGGTAGAGATCGGCTTAGTGTGGCCCACTTCTGATTTGAGATCATGGCCTCTAGAGCATGACTTCCCTCTTGATGTTGCTGCTCATCTTCTTCTACATTTTTGCTGTGACTGGTGTCTACTTCTTCGAGAACTACACTCGTTCAACTCGTGAGGACCTGGAATACCACATGTTCTTCTCGTAGGCAGGGCTGGGGGGAAGCATGGGTGAGGGGAGAAAATTTGGGTAAGAGACCAGGAATCTCATCCAAACTATACTAATACAAAAAATATAGTCTATTGTAAGAAACTGGAATAGAACATGATAAGGAGAGGGAAAGAGAAAGCAAAGGAATAGTGAGTGGTGTTAACTGTGATCTTGAGGGTAGGGCAGCTAGTTCCAGGTTTATTTTGGGTTTTTCAAATTCAAACACATTCTCTTCAACCATCTTTAAATTGCAGTATACTGCAGTTTAAGCCTTGGTTTTTATGGTTCACTTACCTCTTTTGAAAAATGGGAATATTAGCAGTACTACCTCATGAGAGTGTGGGGATAAATGAAGTAATGCATTTAAGTACTTAGCAAAGTATTTAACACATTTTAAGTGACCGATAAATGTTAATAAAAAAAAAAAAAAAAAAAAAAAGATAAAGAAAAAACTAAAAAAAAAGAAGAAACAAAAACCAAAATCAATGTTATTATAACTCTCAAACATGGTTACTGTTTTACCCCAATCTATAGGTGTGGGTATTATACATGCATATACCTATACTCATTCAAAAGTAAAATCCTGATAAGATCTTTGTCTAGAAAACACAAATTGCTAGAAGGAAGTCAACTTGAATTTGGAGGAGATAATTCAGTTTATGTATTGGAATCCAACCTTGTCAGCACCTGTTAGAGTCTAAGAGAGATCTAAGATCTAAGATCTCTCTTAGACTCTAACAGGTAGTTTTGTAAATGTATTGAGTTAGGAAAGTCCTAGAGTTCATCGTATTCAAGCCTTGATGCTTTCAATAAATTGTGTATGGGGGACTAAGATGGAAAGGAGGAAAATTTAGATGCCTAAAGGAAGGCACCTAAATTTTTAAATTAATTTTAAATAATTAATTGCATTAATTTTATAATTTTTATATTATTTGTATATATTCATTATCATTATTTAGGATCACATGTTTATGTCACCTATCCATCTACTTAAGAGGGCACATCAAAAAGTTTATGGAAAAATTCATATTATCTTTTTTTTTTTTTTGCTACTGGCCGGAATGGGAATCCAAACCCTTGACCTTGGTGTTAGAACATTGTGCTCTAACTAACTGAGCTAATTATCCAGCCCTTAGTTCTATTTTTCTACAGACTTTCTCAAGAACCCTTATATTTCTCTATTAGTTCATACCAGTGAGCTAAATAGAAATGATGTTCATGAGTGATATTCTATTATTGGGAGTCCATACATCAGGAAAGAATGAACTTAGAAAAAATATCTAGTTGGCAATTCATTTATTTTTTAAAAATTCAATCAACACCCATTTATTGAGTACTTACTATGCCCCAAAACTGATGAGGTGAGAGGTATTCATAGATTATTCATGATGAAGGAAACTTAATAAAACAATTTCAAACTGAAGAATAGTAGGCTAAAAATTGAGGATGGTAGAAAAGGAGCCAGACTCAGCAAACTACAAAGAAATGCTTTTATATTGCCTTAAAAGAAAGAATGATATGGTTTCCGAGAGGTTTAGATCTCTGCTTCTGTCTATTCACATACCTTCTTCTTTAGGGATGTGCTGAATTCCCTGGTGACAGTGTTCATTCTCTTCACCTTGGATCACTGGTATGCACTGCTTCAGGATGTCTGGAAGGTGCCTGAAGTCAGCCGCATCTTCAGCAGCCTCTATGTCATCCTGTGGTTGTTGCTCGGCTCCATCATCTTTCGAAATATCATAGTAGCCATGATGGGTAAGCATATAGGAGGTAAAATTTGGTGGAAGGGATAGTTGGGAAGAAATTAATCTGAAAGCTGGGATTGGTGGATTACAGGAGAGAGCACCAAGTATAGCAGGAAGGCTTGGGTCCTGGAATGGATATTTCACTTGGTTTCTCCCAACCCAGGCCTCTCCCTGGGTCTAGTTACCACCACCTCCCAACTCCTAATGGCCCTTTGGGGCAGTTACTAACTTCCAGAATATCAGGAAAGAGCTGAATGAGGAGATGACACATCTGGAGGTTCAGCACAAAGCTGACATATTCAAGAGGCAGATTATTCAGAGGTCTGTTTCCCCATTTTTAAACCCAACTTACTTTCTTTCTTTCTTTTTTTTCTTGTGGCTGGTCCACTTTATTTCTCAAAGGTTTCCTGAACTCATTTTCTATTTTTACTCCTTGGCCTTGACCTCACTTTTCCCTTTGTGACAGAAGATTTGCCCCCAGGGTTAAGAATTCCTCAGCTCTAGAACATTGCCTGATTCTTCATCTGTTGGGGTGACTTGACTATGGTTTTTTCTCCCCACTCATTTTTCTTCACTTTCTGTTCTGAATTCTTTTCTTTTACACATACTGCACTTCTGCTTGAATGTAGCTATCTTCACTCTTTTGGGGTTTTTTTGCTTTGCAGGAGACAAAACCTGTACCCTGAAGCACTGAGGCCAAGCCGTAGCAAAACGGATGTGAGGTTAGGAGTGTATATGTGAACTGGGATGGAAACACATGAAGGAGGAGAGGGTAGAAAACCAAAGGTGAAGATTGGCTTTCAGAGAGAATTTTTTTTTTTTTTCAAAAGATGACCAGTAAGGGGGTCTTAACCCTTGACTTGGTGCTGTCAGCACCATGCTCTCCCAAGTGAGCTAACTGGCCATCACTATATAGGGATCCAAACCCGTGGCCTTGATGTTATCAGCACCACACTCTCCCAAGTGAGCCATGGGCCAGCCCTGAGAGAGAACTTTTTCATTCAATATTTATTGTAGTTAGTTGAATGGTGGCCCCCAAAATGACATGTCCTTGTCCTAATTCCCTGGAAGCTATGAATATGACCTTATTTGGAAAAAGGGTCTTTGCAGATGTGACTTATTTAAGGATCTTGAGAAGAGATTATCCTGGATTATCCAGGGGGACCCTAAATCCAATGACAAGGGTCCATATAAGAGATACAAGAGGAGAAGACACAGACACAGAGAACAGGAGAAGGCAGTGTGAAAATGGAGATTGAGATTGCAGTGATGCAACCACAAACCAAGGGAGTCTGAAGAGTGCTGGACAGCTGCTAGAAGGTAAAAGAGGCAAGGAACCTTCTCCCCTAGAGCTTCCAGAGGGAGTATGGACCTGCCAACGCCATGATTTCAGATGTCTAGCCTCTAGAACTGTGAGACAATACATTTCTGTTGTTTTAAGTCACCAAGTTTATGGTAATTTGTTACAGTAGCCACAGGAAACTAATACAGCTACCTTCAATGAAACAGATACTATTTTAGACCCTGAGTGTTTAGCAGTAGACAGGAGGGTAGGAGGAGAAATAAGAAACTCATTCATCCATTAATGAATAATTATTGAATACTTAGTAAGTGTTTAAAATATATAAGTGAACAAAATAGACAATAATTCCTGCTCTCATGGAGCCTACATACTATTAGGGGTAAGGAAATGATAAACAATGAACACATTAAATAAGTACAATAAATAAAATGTGTTAAAATATGATAAGTATTATGGAAATTTGAAGTAGAGTAGGTTAAAGGGGATTGGAATAGAGGGTGGGGATTGCAGATGGGTTGTAATTTTAAACAGGGTAGTCGGGAGAGTTCCGGTCAAGATAGCCAAATGGACGGTCCCCAGCGTCACTCTCTCCCACAAATCAATCGATTTACAACTATAAAAATGTAACAACAGCCAAGCTGGGGCCGCTGGAGCTCAGGATAAGAGGAGGAAAGACCTATGGAGTTCATGAAGGGGAAGAAGCCACAATGAGAGAAAGAAAAAACTGCTCGGAGAGTTTCAGGCCACGGCCGCTTTAAGGCTGGAACTGCTGAGTGCATGGAGCAAGAACCAGCAGAAGCCGCAGCTGTGCCCTTCAGATGGAGTTGCTTTTTAGGTGGCAGGGGAGAAGAGGGCCTTAGTGGCCCCCATGGCAGCAAGACCACTAATAGGGTTCCCATGGACCCACACAGGAGCAAGGAGCCAGAACAGCTGAAAAAGGGGAGTCATTCAGAGGTTGGTGGGTCATTGCAAGGGACCGGTGCAGGGCCTATCCCATGCAAAGTGTTTGGAGCACGGGCAGTGAGGGAGAGAGGCCCACCGGGAGAAAACTGGGACACAGCAAGGACAGCCGATCCGCCCCCCAGTCAGCTCAGGACCACTCAGAGAATGGTTGGGAATGCAGAATTGCATGGAGTGCAGTTTGATGAAAAGATTCAGGCCCAGATCAGAGTTTCTACACAACCCAGGCGCACCAGGGTTCTGGAGAGCTGGAAGTATCTATAAGGTCAACCATTAAACACTGAGCTGCACAAAAAGCCTTCCCTAGGGAAACAGCAACAAAGCAGCAATTTAGCTCAACAACAAAACTCAAGTACTGGCTCCCACAGGAAGTTCCCTGTTTTAGAAGTAAGCAAAAGACAAAAAATCAGTTCTGGCCCAGGCACACCGTCAGCATCTCCACCCCGCCCAGGGGCAGAAAATGGAGCCAAGGACCGGACTCCCCATCACCAGTACCAAGGAGCATGCCAAAAAGATCGCCTCCATGTGGGTGGCCCACCACAGCCACCACAGTAACCATGGCTGCTGCAAAAGTGGTTAGACATCACAGCCACCACGCAGATGGCCCGCCAGCCACTGGAGTGCAGTGACACAAGGAGAGTCACCAGCAGAGACCAAAGAAGAGGATGTCTCTCTCTACAAAGCCCATTCCAGAGTGACAGAAGAAGCATCTGCTCTATGATAATATTGGGGGACCTGAACACACCTTTCAGCATTGGACAGATCATCTAGGCAACAAATCAACAGAGTAAAAATTACTCTTTCAGAGGGAGAGAAGAAATCTAGTGTTATCAGTGGCGGGAGGGGAGAGGGAGAGGGGGAAAGGGAGAGATTGGACAAGGGGCATAAAGAATAAGTACAATTTGTAACATTATACATACTAGTAATATTGATTTGATCAACATATGTCAACATTGAATCCCAAAAGTATGTGTAATCAATTATGATTCAATAAAAATAAATAAATAAAATGCTGAAGAAATTAAAAAATAAACAGGGTAGTCAGGGTGTCCTCACAGTGAAAGGGTAATGTGGGCAAAGTCTTGAAGGAGGTGAGGGATTACCATGTGGATATCTATGGGAAGAGTGTTATAGGCAGAGGGAATAGCTAGTGCAAAGGTCCTAAACTGGAAGCATGCCAGATGTGTTTGAGAAACAGCAAGGAGTCCATTGTGACTGGAGCAGAGTGAGCAGAGGGAAGAGTGATGGGGATGAGGTCAGAGAGAATCTAGGGCTGTGGGGGCCATTGTAGGGACTTAGGTTTTTACTCTGAGGGAAGCGGGAAGCAGAGCAGGGGAGTGACAGGAAGTGACTTACATTTAAGGAGGATTATTCTGGTTACTGTGTTGATGATGGACTGAAGAAGAACAAGGGAAGGAGCAAAGAGATCAGTTAAGAGGCTATGCTGCTGTGCAGGCAAGAGATGATGTTAGTTCAGACGAGGGCGGTACCAGTGAGGTAATGAGAAAATACATATTTTGAAGGTAGAGTCAACAGGATTTCTTGATGGACTAGATATGGGAGGGAAGAGAAGAGTTAAGGATGACACACTGGGGACGACTGAAGTTGGAAATGCCTACATTTTAGAGTTCAGGAGAGTTTGGCCTTCACTGCCTTAAGTCCCAGCTTTAGGGGATGGCCAGGGCTAGGACGGGAATAATGAAGGAACTTGCAAATGTACTTGAAACAATAAAATGTCTCCTTTTACTTACAGAGGATCCAGTCAACAAAGGATGTCTTTGGACTTAGAAGTTTCTGAAGAACAGTCTAAACACAGTGCTGCTGAAGAGGAATTGATAATGTCTGCACCAAAAACAGAAGAGCCCTTGTCAAAAAGAAAAGAGTACCCATCTGCCCCCTCTACTTCCTCCTCCTCCTATTCCTTCTCTTCTGAATCCAGATATTCTGAATATATTGGTGAGCAGAAGGGTTTCTTCCATTTGAGTTCTGACTCCTCTCTGACACATCCCAATCTTAAGAGGAGCTCCCCTATTATATCTGCTTTCCAATTTTCTCCACCAGTATGATTTTCTGCTGTTAATTACTTTCTTTGTGCTTCTTAATTTCCCCCGTACTTCTGCTTCACTTCGAATAAGTGTGGCTATAAATCTCTTTATTCATTGTAAAAAGTGGTCTCTTGATGGTACCCCCTTTTCCCACCCTGCTTCCTATTTCTTCTTTCATCTCCACTGTCCATCCACACCATAGGGCTTTTCAGATCTTACTCAACTTCCACAAATCTACAAATGTTTTCAAGAAGGATTCCTCCCAACAGGTCAGTTGGACTGGGAGACTCTTGTGCACCAGAATCTGCCTGGGCTAATGGAAATGGATCAGGAAGATCGTGTTGTTTGGCCCAGAGATTCACTCTTTCGATATTTTGAGTTGCTGGAAAAGCTGCAGTATAACCTAGAGGAGCGTAAGAAGTTGCAAGGGTTTGCAGGTATGGAGTTAGGGCAGTCATGGAGACCAGGAGTTAAGTACACGGGAGTAGCATGTATAACTGGGGAGAAGGAGGAGGGTGCCCACTATTATGACATCTCGGCCTCTCAATTCTGCCACATAACCAAAAAAAGGCAAATTCTTGGTTTAATATGTCACATTCTAGACACATATCCCAATTTCTTCTAACTTAGAGAGAACCTAGAAATTGCACTTCTCCAGCAAGAGATACCTGAATTCTCTGAGGTCTAAAAACTTGTTTCCTAAGAGGAGAGTGTCCAATTCCAGTTGTTGGGAGTTAGGTCAATATGGGATCTTGCTTGATTTGGGCAGCCCACCCCTTTCTATACATGTTTCTGCTCTTTGAAGGTCACATTTCAGACCTGAGCATCAGGGCCTCAGGCTCAAGTTGGATAGCTATGGGAATTAGACAGTGAACAGAAAGCCCACAAGTACCCACTACCCCATCCCTCAAAAGAGGTTTATGAGTTACTGACTTATCTTCCTATCAGCCCCTTCTAGTGTCAGCATAGGCAGAGAGGGGTATGTAATTTAAATAGTAGAGTTTGAGGTAAGCCAAGAACTGTCTGCTCAGAATTATTTCCCTTAAGTTTCACCACTTGGAGATTAGTTTGGATTAATAAAAATTTCCCTCTAAGAATAAAAACTGTAAGACTTAGGGCCAGCTCTTTATAATTTAATACGGATTAGTGTTATCTGAGTTTTCTTCCTCATACCTAGTTGAAATCAACTCAGTGCAAAAATAAGAATTAAATAAAGAGGAGGACTGTGGGGTGTCTCTTTGTGTGAGTGTGTATGGCACAGAGGGCAATAAGAGGAATATATAACATTGGAACATGGAATTTAGAGCAGGATGTCAAAAACAGGCTTTGCCTACTTCAAAATGTTGCCTAAAATTAATCCTGCTCTTTCCCGTCATTCTCAACCCTGTCTTCCTAGTTGTTTTCTAGGGACAACAGGGTGAAAGGGAGAAGGTAGCAACATGGCTTTTTTAATCCTGATTAACTTGTCTATAGCAAATATGTCATATGGCTTAATTTAGAGTAAAGATTAGTAAAGACTTGTGTGGGAATCTAGAACACAGAAAAGCAGAGTCTTTCACCAAATATTTATAAGTTCTGAATATTCTTAGCTCTCCAGCCTCATGGTCTGTTTCTTTACAGTGCAGGCACTAATGAACTTTGAAGACAAGTAAAGCCAACAGTGGATGGCTTCAAAATCTTTGGTTCAAGCAAATGATAATGAAGGGAAAAGTCGGAAATAGAGAATTCAAAATATAAATGTTTAATAAATACTGCTCACTGGTCTGTTTCTGAGATGTAGGGGAAGTATAATGTCAAGCAAAAAAGTTACTTGCGATGGTGGTGGTGGAGCCTTTGCTCCTTGACTTTCTACCCTTTCCACAGCTCCTGAGTCGACTCTTCCTGACTTTATCATTGTAGCCCTCACCCTTCCTGCAACCTCTACTTCCTGATAAGAGTCCTAATTTTACCCTCTCCCTCCCTGATGCAGTGTATAAATGCCTCTCTGTGGGTGTAAGAAGATCCTCAGAGCTGTTGATGTAACTAATTGAGAGGTATTGTTTCCGTTGCCTACTCTACTAGCATTGCTTCTCTTGTGCACCATTAACTTAGAGGGACATCATTTTTACCTGTTTCTGGGCCAAAAGGCAGTCCCTTATTCCACTTCTTTGCCATTGCTCAGGGCAGTGTTTAAATCAGTAAGAGTTCCACAGATTTTTAGTGTGAGAAGGGACCTCAGCATTAATCTGTCTACCATCAAAGCAGGAACATCTTTTAGAACATCACTTAAAGGATTATTCAGCTGGTGCTTAATGTTTCTAGTTACTGGGGATTTCTTATCTAGAAGAGATTCTATTCCATTGTTGTATAACTCGAGTCTTTAAAAATACTTATTATTAAAAATTAATTTACTGGGCCGAGCCCGTGGCACACTCGGGAGAGTGCGGTGCTGGGAGCGCAGCAGCACTCCCGCCGCGGGTTCGGATTCTATATAGATGACCGGTGCGCTCACAGCGCTCACTGGCTGAGTGCGGTGCAGCCGGTCTCAAAAATGACAAAAAAAAAAAATTAATTTACTTATTGAGTACTTCAGATGTATGAAGATACTTATATAGAGATCTATATAGATGACCGGTGCACTCACAGCGCTCACTGGCTGAGTGCGGTGCAGCCGGTCTCAAAAATGACAAAAAAAAAAAAATTAATTTACTTATTGAGTACTTCAGATGTATGAAGATACTTATATAGAGAAAATGTATGTTTATTTCATAAAATAACCATATACAGAAAATATTATCTTCCCACTTTTTTTTTTTTTTTGTCTTTTTCCGTGTCTGGCAACAGGATTGCAACCCTCAGTGTTGCCCCCACGCCTCGCTCAGCCAGTGAGCGGGAACCGGTCTGTATGTGGGATCCGAACCCTCAGGCGGGAGCGCCGCCGCGCTTCCCACTTTTATAGATCAGAAAACAGGCTTAAAGAAGTTAAGCAACTTACCCAAGGGCCCTTACCAAGTAAGAGCTAAAGTACTAACCCAGGTTTAAAATTCTGAGTTGAAGACGCAGGGAGAATACCATGTGATGATGAGGCAGACATTAGAGTTATGCTGCTACAAGCCAGGGAACACCAAGGATTGCAGACACCAGAAGCTAAGAAAGAGGCAAGGAAGGGACTTCCCCTAGGACCTTCAGGGAGAGCATGATCCAGCCAACACCTTGATTTTGGACTTGTAGCTTCCAGAACTGTGAGAGAATAAATTTCTGTTGTTTTAAACCACCAAAGGAAAAAAAAAAATTCTGAGTTGAGAAAAATCCAATTTAAATAATTTTAAAAAATAGATAGCTTATTCTATTGGCTCTCAGGACTGGGAAGTTCAAAGGTAGTATGTATAGCGTCAGGGATGATTTAATATAAAAATTCTCTGTTGGAACTGTGGTTTTGTTTCTCTACACTCCTCCATGTGTCTGTGTTATCCTCAGGCTGGCTTCACTCAGGTAGCCAGATAATTTTCTGAAGCTCCTAGGCCTGTATACCTATTTATGCTCACATCCAGGGGAAGAGAGCAAGTAACTCCTTTCTCAGTCTTTGAACAAAACTTTTGAGCTTTGGGTCAGAATAGTGGTTATTCTTGGAGTGAAGATACTGACTGGGAGGAGATATGAGGAACCTGGAGTGCTGTAATATTCTATATCTTGCTCTGCATGGTGGTTACACAGGTATATATAGATGTAAAATTTCAACAAGCTGTCCACTGAAGATGTGGGCATTAACTGTGTGTAAGTCAGATCACCCTGAGCACCACTCTGATTGGACCAAGAAATTAGGTCACATACTCACTTTCTCCTGGAACTGGAGGCAAGGTCAATTACACCTAACAAGGGCTGCCACCCAAATGAAGAAAGGATGGATGGATGAAAAAGAGGCAATCACTACCTAAGAGTGTGTCTGGCAAAAAGGCCGATGATGGAGTTTGGATATGTTGTCACCTCCAAAACTCATGTGGAAATTTGATCCCAATGTGGCAGTGTTGGAAACTGATTGAGTCATGGGGGCGGATCCCTCATGAATGGATTAATGCTCTCCCTGGGGGAGGGGGGGAATAATGAGTGAGTTCTTGCTCTATTAGTTCCCGTGAGAGCTTATTGTTTATAGGACCCTGGTACCTCTTGCTTCTCTCTCTTGCTTCCTCTCGCCATGTGATTTGCTTGTACCTGCTGGCTGCCTGCTGCTTTTCCACCATGAGTAGAAGCAGCTTGAGGCCCATGCCAGATGCAGCTGTCCCAGAATCGTAAGCCAAATAAATCCCTTTTCCTTATAAATTACCCAGACCCAGGTATTCTGTTATAGCAACACAAAATGGACTAAAACAGCCAAGATAAGGAAAATTAAAATGAATGTCCAGAATTGGCAAATCCATGGTGTTTTAGTCCATTTCTGTTGCTTACAACAAAATACATGGAACTGTAAAGAAAATGAAATTTTTGCTTAGAGTTTTGGAGGCTGAGAAGTCCAAAGTCCAGGGAACACATCCGATGAGGGTCTTCTTTGGCAGTGGCTTCAGCAACACAGAGTATCACATTGCAAGATGGCAGAAGCAGAGATGGCTTCTCATGTGCCCTTTTAAGCCCTCAGAACCATGACCACTATTCCAAGAACGGATCAATCCATTCATGAGGGTACAGTCCTCACAATCCAACCACCTCTTCAAGGACTTACCTTTCAATTACCACAACAGCATTTCCCACCCCCTTAACACTCTCACAGTGGGGGCCAAGTTTTGGGGGGACATTCAGTCCAAGGCACATGGAGACAAAAACTAGATTAGTGGTTGCCGGGGGCTTGAGGAGGGAGGAATTGGACTGCCTGCTAATAGATGTGGGGTTTCTTTTTGGGGCGATAGAAATGTTCTGAAATTAGATAGTGGTTATAGTTGCACAACATGATAAATATACTAAAGAACACTGAATTGTACACTTTAAAATGGTAATTGTGTGAATTATATTTCAATTTTAAAAATGGAGTAAAGATTATCTAAAAACTAAGAACCAACATTACATTTCAAGTAAAATCATTTTAGTCATTCCTCAAAATGAAGAACAAAATAAAAATATCTTTAAAAATAAACATCAATAGGGCTGGCCCGTGGCTCATTCGGGAGAGTGTGGTGCTGATAACACCAAGGCCTCGGGTTCAGATCCCATATAGGGATGGTGGTTAGCTCACTGGGTGAGCGTGGTGCTGACAACACCAAGTCAAGGGTTAAGATCCCCTTACCGGTCATCTTAAAAAAAACAAAAATAAAAACAACCTAGCAATATATAACATTGTATTAGGAGTCCCATCATAAGACATATGACTTAAATATTTAGAAAAAAGAACCCAAAATACTATTTTTAGACACAATTGCATACCTAGACACCCCAAAGGAACCAACTAGAATTAGAGATAAAGGATTTCCATTAAGTACTAATGGAAGAAAAGAGGGTCTGAGACAGAAACCCGGGAAACAGGAATATTTAAGGGATAGGAAGAGGAAGTAGAGTCAGCAGAGAAGCATGAGAGGAAATAGCTGAAGAGACAGAATAACCATTTTAGAGCAATGTCCCTAGAGCCAAGAGAATTTCAAGAAAGGAATGGTCCAGTAAGAGCTGGACTGGAACATTCACTGACCTTGCATTCAGAATACTATAAATATAATAAAACAGAGTATGGAAGCATTATTTAATAAATCTTATATAGCTATCCACAAAGTAGATGCTCTTTGAATAGCTTTGCTCAAAGTGTGGTCTGAGGACCAGCAGAATTGGCTTCACCTGGTAACTTGTTAGAAGTGCAGAATCTCAGGCCCTCTCCCTAAACCCTATTGAATCAGGTGATATATATGTATATTAAAGATTCAAAAGCACTACTTTATAGGTATTTGATGAATTTTCCCAACTGACTTTCTACAGCTGACCTTGAATGGTCTGTGCATGCTGCCTCTTATTCTTTAATTCCTTCCTCAGTGAAAGGAAGTTTATTCAATTATTTTTTTGAGTTCCTATGCTCCAAACACTGTTCTAGGCACTTGGGATACATCAGTTAACAAGACAGAAATCCCTGCTCATCCTGACAAGCTTCTCTTAAGATCAAATAATAAATGAAAACTTCTGTGAAGACAGGGATTTTTATCTTCTCCAATTTAAAAAAGAATTTGTCAAAAAAAATTATTTTTTCAGCAAGACTAGAGCCATGTGATAATAGATGCTAAAAAAGAAAAACAAACGACTTTTTCTGACTAAACAAGAATATTCTATAAATATTCTAAAGTCTAAGGATCAAGTCACACTGGCAATGCATCTTCTAGCTTCCCTTTCATCCTTGCCCTGACTGAGTACCCCTACTATGGATTTCTTCAGAGTTTTTTGGGGTAGGGCGGGGGGCAGCTGGCTGGTCCAGGGATCCTAACCTTTGACTTTGATATTATGAGGTGTTGCTCTAACCAACTGAGCTAACCGGCCAGCCCTCACCAGGGTTCTTGAGTCAAGGAAAGTATTTGAACTCTATGCCAGAGCTCTGAGGATTCCTCTGGAGCATTTTGGAAGTGGAGTTAAGAATTAGATATTGTTGTGATATAACTAAATTTTACATTTTTTCACACATGGCTTGTTTTAGGTTTTACTTTGGAACATAGTTTGCCCTTTTGATCTCTATTACTTATATCTTAAAATTACATAATGAAACA